TGAGCATGAGCGCCGAGCTAACACCCTGCTGCAGATGCTATCACAAGCCCAGAGAAAATGGAAAGGCGTGTGTGACCGTGGCCTGGCACCGGGTGGCTCCATCACCCTGCTTAGAGCCACGGTTAAGTCCAAACTCCATGCTTTAAAATAAGCCTCAAGATGCCTGGGAAATTTGACTTAGGGTGAGCTAGGACCCCCCAAAAGATAGCCCAGTTATTTTTAGTTTCCCACTTTGTGCAGTATTATAGGATCTGGGGCAAAACTAGATCTCGTGCTCCCAGTAACTACTAACCTGATAATAGTTGTCATTTATGAAGGTCTGCACTGAGTGCTTCAGACGCTTGATCTTACACGTTCCCCCAGAGCAGGCACTTTACATGTGGAGAAAACTGAGTCACAGATTAAGTAACTTGCCCAAGGTCACCCAGAAAGCAACAGAACCAAAATTCAAACCAAATATGTTAGGTTCCAGAGCCCAAGCATGTAACCACTGTGATATCTGCGTAGTTGGCATAGAGTCTAAGGCATTTGCTAAGCATATGGCCTCAACAATTCAAGAAGGGTCTATTGAGCAACTGCTGTGTGCTCCAGCATTGCAGCTGGAGGCTGAGGTACAGCCTTCTGCTTTCTCAGCACTCTGAGGCTTTCCTGCTGAAGGTTAACTTCCAAAGAGCCACTTACCTACCAACAGATTTTCCTGCTCTAAAGGCAGTCACTGCCTGTATGACCCTCTGTATCAGGGGTCAGCAAATTCTGGCCCACAGGTCCAGCCCGAGAGCCATGCAAATAGGTTTTTTTTTTTTTAAATCAGAAGAATACTACTACTTCACAACACATGGAAGTGCTATAAACTTACAGTTCCAGTGTTTATAAATAAAGTTTTATTGGAACTGAGCCATGCTCCTTCATTTATGTATTATAACAAGTATGTCTGGGGGTGCTTTCACTCAGAGTTGAGTAGTTGTAACACAGAGCAGATAACCAACAAAGCCTTAACTGCTCACTGTCTTGTCCTTTACAGGGAAAACTCGCCAACCCCCACCCTAGAGAAAGATGAACTAAGCCAAACTGGCAGTGTGGTCAAGAGAGTTTGCCTTTTTTTTTTAAATTCTCCCCTGGAGAAGTTGCCTTGCCTCTCAGTGTGTAGTACAAGTCACTTACCCACAAAATACAAGTGGGGACCCCCTTCCCACTTCCTGTGTATTCAAAAGCCAGGTAGCTCAGGGAAGGCTCCTTCTGAGCCCTTGACTCTGCAGCTGCAGGGCCCTCAAACCCTCTTCCTCTTTAACTCCTTCCTGATCAAAGACTTGTAGGAAGTAATATTTGAGAAAACATCAACTTCATTTTATTTGCCCAAGGCACTGTCACATCAAACAGAGGAAGGTTGGAAATTGAAAAACTAAAGTCCAGAGAGTTGAAATCATAAAGCTTTGTTAAACCTCCTGCTTGGCTAGTGCTTTCCCAGATGTTCTTATTTAATCATTCTTTAACTTCAAGTGAATATCAGATAACATTGTTCATTTCCCCTTCTCCCTTTTGAGGATGAAGTTTATAAGGCTCCCCCCCTCCAATTTCTACATTCCATTTCTTGTACTTTTTGACACTCCCTGAAGATGTCAGCCGTAGCCTGTGGCAGCTGGGAAATTGCCTTGTCCAACTTTTTTCCTAAGGAATTGAGTTCTTAATGTAGAAATAAATCACCAAAGCTCAAGGAGTTGTTTGGACATTTTGGACATTTTTTTTAAGAAGGGGAAAGCGGTTTAGTTCTGATTTGATGAACTGCTAGCAGTGAAACACAATCCATTGCCACAGATCACTTCTCTCCCACCTATGGAATCCCATCATGGAACTAGGGCTTTCAGAGTCTCGCTGATACCCCAGCTGTAGGCCCCAGGATGGGGCATCAGAGAGCAGATGGCACAGTGATGCGTTAGGAGGCCACCCTGGGCTGACGTTTTCTGAAAATCTTGTTGTAATGAGTTTTGGGGGCACTCAGTCTGGCAGTCCTGGCTGCAGGAGTGGAGGCATGAGAGACAGGCTGCCAGAGCAGCTTTGACTGGGTTGGAGGTGGGAGAAGCTGGGTCCAAGGCCTGTTTTCTGGATCAGAAGCCTCTCAGTGAGTTTTCAGATTACCTTGCCTACCCTCCCACATTCAAGGGAGAACTCATTGAGCCAGTAGGAATACTCTATATTGCATCGCATATTGTGCACATCAGCCCAATCCACATCTGTTACCTTCTGTGGGCCTTGCAGAGTGCCTCCTGTGTGGGGGATAGGGCAGGATTGTTCTTTTGTGGATGCAGAAATGGAAACCCAGAGGGCCCAGGTGTTTGCCTAAAGCAACAGAGCATCAGTGACAATGCCGATACTGGAATTTCCATTTCTGGACTTCTGGTGTTTCACTTTCCATGTTCAGCCCACCCTGTTACCTTGCTGAGTAATGAAAGAATGGGCATTGGAGTCAGAGACACCTGGATTCAGTATCAGCTTTGCCATTGGACTAGTCCTGAAACCCTTGTTTCTTCATTTGTTGTTGTTATGTGCAGTCGAGTCAGACTCGACTCACGGCGACCCCTCCTTGGGTTTCCGAGACAGTATTACTACAGAAGTAGATTGCCCAACTTTCCTTCCAAGGAGTGGCTGGTGGGTTTGAACCTCTAGCCTTCTGGTTAGCAGTCAAGTGCCTTAGGCACTACGCCACCAGAGCTCCTAATTTGTAGGAAGAAGGATAAGGGTGCTGTCGGGCACTCATGAGATCATGGAAGTGAGACCTCTAACACAGTGCCTTTCACATTGTAGATGTTTACTTTTTCTTTCCTTTCCCCTTATAAAAACTCTTTATATATCTGTGGATCATTGTTTTCACAGCATAAGTGTGTATATACATGTATATTTGTATAATTTAACCTGTTTCTCCCCTGAGAGATAGAGGAAGCAAAGATTATATTCATTAAGGTACAGTTCCAAACCAAAACCAAACTCACTGCCGTTAAGTCGGATCCGACTCATAGTGACCCCCCTTTGGGTTTCCGAAATGATATCACTATGGAAGTAGATTGCCCAGTCTTCCTTCTGAGGAGTGGCTGGTAGGTTTGAGCTGGCAGCCTTCCAGTTAGCAGTCAAATGCCTTAGGCACTATGCCACCAGAGCTCCCAAGGTATAGTTAGATGGCCTGAATGGTTAAGCAGAGCCAGAACTAGAGCTGAATGGCCTCATGACCCCTCAGCCCAAGCTACCTTTTTTTTTTTTTTACCAGAGGCATTGCCTGGCCCAGAGGTTCTGATATCGGAGAGATTTATCAATCAAAGGACATCTGTTTTGAACAGATATGGGCGTGGACTTTTGTAGCCTTCATGGTGAAGACTGATTTACCCTCTAAACTAAATCTCTCTTGCTGCCAAAAGGGCCCACACATTAACCATACCTTACTAACATCCCACTAGGATTTTTCAGGTGCACAACTTACCTGTCAGAGTGCCTGATGATGGATAAAGCCTTGGAGATACAGGCTGGGCTGAGGGATGTGGCTTTTCCTCTGTTCCACAAGATAGACAGCACCGTGCATAAGGCTCCAAGATGGCAGAACTGACAGATTGGAAATTTCCACTCCCTCTTCCCCAGAAGGGACCTATTTCCTGGAATTATATCATCATCCCCTAAAACTGCTGATAAGAGCTCTGAGTATTGCTGGGAACTAGCAGTGGGGGTCTTGGGGTAGTCAGAGTTAAATACATGCTTCGTGCCCACTGTGGCTCACAGCTCTGTGGTGATGGCATCTGTAAGCTCCCCGGGTTTAGTGGTTGAAAGGAGATATGTGCAGTATGACCAGTGACAGCGTTGATGAGTTACATCATTGAAGGCACCCGGGAGAAGGACCGCTTAAACCATCTCGTGCTTGTAGCAGGAAAGCTGTGTCCTGCCCTTCTGTATTTTTGTTTTTGACGGGCTGTGAAGTAGTGTCCTCTTTTAACTCATGCTAGGTGGCCCCTACTCCCTTCTGAATTCCTTCCCTGGGTCCTCGTCAGCCTGTATGGGCACTCCCTAATTTCTCTAGGCTAAAGGTAAGATTGAGGGCAGGAACAATTTAAAGTCGTTCATGATTCAGTAGAATCAGTGAATATACAGTGTGGAACATGAAGCCCGTATTCAAAGAAATAAGATTATTACTTAATATGTTAGTTCAAAAGATGGAGGGTGTTCTGGTTACCTAGTGCCACTCTCACAGGAATATACCACAAATGGGATGGTTTAAACAAACAGGAGTTTATTCTCTTACAGTTTGGAGCCTTTAAGTCCAAGTTCAAAGTGCCAGGCTTTAGGGACTGGGTAAAAGCCCCTCAACCTTGGGGTCCAGCTCTGCCTCCTGCTCCCGGCCCACTGGAGCTAAAGGCGTTTCTTCACTTAGACAGCTTCTAGCTGCTGAGGCTGTCAAACCCAAGGTTGACAAATAAAAAGGCACAGCCCCAATATTACCAAGCCACATGGCAGGCCATTAATTTAAATCCATTGTAAGTCCCAAGGTTGGCAGAGCATGGCAGGCTGCTGAACAACCACACGGCTACCTGCGGGGTCCAAGCGTGTCATAAACTAGAGACCATTCCCAAGGCTTCTCCTTATATACAGGAAGCAGACCACATCCCAAAGGCAGCTACTCAGCTGCCTGTGGTAGATCCCACCGTGGAGTTGATTGCCAGTCTCATCATGGGGAATAACTACCACCAGCTGCCCAGCCACTCAACTGGGCCCAGCCAAGGTGACATACAAACGTAACCACCACAGAGGGGTAGTGATCTCCCTAAATATTATTAACATTACCAACTCAGTAAATAGGAAGATTCAAGAGAATTTCATTCCTGGGAGAAGGGGCAGTGGCAGTATATTAGGGAAGCTGTCTCAGAAGATTCTGCGCCCCCGAGGTCCTGGCCTGCCTGCTCAGGGTGGGGGTCACAGAGGTGACCATGCCACCCTCTAACACACCTTTCCCTCTGTCACCTCTCCAGGTGTTAACAGAACTGAAATCTGACAACCAGAGGCTGAAAGACGAAAATGGTGCCCTCATCAGAGTCATCAGCAAACTGTCCAAATAGCCTAGGCTCCAGAAGTAGGAGGGAGGGGATGGCATGCACTGTCCTCAGCCCTCTTTTCCAGCCATTGCCTTCCAGCCAAAAGAGGTGAATGTTTTGGTGGAAGGACACTTCCCTCTGACCCCTTCCAGTCACCTCCTCTGCACTGTACATTCTCTCGCGCTCTCTGAGCCCCGTTCCTCCCACACTCCCAGCCCCTGAGTTTTATGACCGTTTTAATTGAAGCATGATTGTGATCATTCGAGCCATCTGGAGAAGGCCTTGGGGAGTACACCAGCCTCAGCTCTAAACCCCCCAACTTCCTGCTGCTCAGCTACTTTGTCCACATCAGTCCAAACGTGTGAGGCTCCTACCCAAATCAGTACCCCACCGCCCTGTGCACTGACTCTGTGTCCTCTGGTAAAGGCAAGGCTCGTGGTGGTAACTCCGGGACCCTGAACGGGGCCCAAGAGAAATGAATAATCGGAGAACCACAGAACTGTGTTACTCTTGGATTCCAAAGGTGACAGCGATTCTGCAGAAGGCTCTGTTCTCCTCAGGAGCGCCCCTTCTCTAACTCCCTGCTGGCATTATGTTTATTTTTTCTGTCTACAACCCACTTACCATCCCTGATGAACCCTAACCTCTGTTCCTCCCTCATGCCTGGCCCTTTCCCCAAGGCTCAGATGCCCTGGCTCCTTTGTCCCTTAGCTTGCTTTCATCCTTCCTTCTCACCCTCCCAGCCTCGCCTCCTGATGTAAAAGCTAGGACCTCAGTTGTCTATGGCCATAATGGGAAGTCCTTTCTCCTGGGCCACTCTGAAGAATAGAATGGCCATGGTGGGGGTACCACCTGCTGCCCTCTCCATGAAAAGCCAGGCCATGGCACTAAGTGTCAACCCATTGTTTGATGTCCCACTCGTTTTCTCCAAGAGAGTAAGTTTCTTTATTAGAAAGTCTGGGCTCTGAATCCCCCCTTCTGCCTCACCTCTCTTTGATCTTATCTCCCTCTCTTCACTCTGACACTTCCTGAGAAACAGAGTCATTGCAGCTAGGAGGAGAGATGGGGAGGGTAGACTGTGGGAGATAGAACAGGGGTGGAAGCAGGTTAGAAAGACGTGGTGTAAGTAGAGTATCTGGGGACACTGCACCATTGTGACAAAGGTGACAGAAGGTTTCCCACTGTGCTGTGTGGTGTTGGCTGCCATCAAGTCAACCCACTCAGAGCAACTCCGTGCAGAACGAGACACTGCCTGGTCCCGCGCCATCCCCAGGTTGGTTGCAAGTGGAAGCATTGTGTTCCATGGGGTTTCCAATGACTGGTTTGTGTTTTTTTTGCCCCTCCAATTTAGCCAAGGTGTTTCCAGTCACCTCTACTTTTTGGAAGTAGATCGTCAGGCCTTTCTTCCTAGTCCATCTTTGTCTGGAAGCTCCTCTGAAACCTATTTGGAATCATAGCAACTGACACACAAGCCTCCTCTGACAGACAGGGTGGCTGCTCGCAAGGGTCATTGGCCGGGAGAATGGGGATGGATTGGGTTATTTCTGGTGGTTAGATTTAGGGGAGAGAGATTTGTGTTTTTAAAGGCCAAAAGGAGAAATGACTTCTTAAGAGAGATTTAAAGAAAAGGATGAGATACTTTCGTCCCATTGGTGAGAGTTGTGGGACTTCAAAGTGAGCAGGCCCAGGGGGTGACTTCCCATTGCTGTGTCACAGGATCCCATGGTCGGGAAGCCTCAGGTGGCTGTGCATTTGTTACTGGAAGGTGGGGCGGCTCTGATAACCACACAGGTTTCCTGAACGTGAGCTGAGGTGCGCTGTGGGTCCTCCACACAGCCCTGTTCTACCCTTGGCTGCTCTTGCCTCTGACAGCCGTTCAGATGGGTGCTGTTGGTGATCTGCCCTTAACCTTCTAATTGCAGTAGCCCTAGTCCTTTCCGTTGTTCCTCAGATGGTATCCTTTCCATGCCTGTGTTATTTTAGTCATCTTCCTCTAGACAGAAACAGCCTTTTAAAATACCGTGTCCAGTTGCAGACAGAATATCCCATGAGTCCAGTGCAAAATTAAACCATTAGTTCTTGACAGTGACCCAATAATAATACTGTACTTGCTTTTTGTAGGAGTCTTACCCCTTGGTTGGTTCATTTTAAGCATGTAGGTCATTTAAGTCCCCATCAGTTTATGGTTGCTGGAGGTGTTCAGTGCTTGGAGTGGCCCACTCTCTTAATACACGCACTACCTCTGTCTGTCTGTGATCTCTTCCCAGGCTGCCATGCCGGTGTAGTTCTTCATGGCCCTCTGAGACAGTGAGTGCTCCTTAAACCAGAAGCTACAATTTCCAGATCCCAGTCCCAGAATAGGAGATGTGTCTCCTCTGGGGGAAAAAAAAAAAAAAAAAAAAAACCTAATTTGTAGAATATACCAAACTCTCTCTTCCATTTCCAACCATTTTCCAAGAAATGCTCCTGCCATCTTGGGATTCTGTATTCTCGCAGGAGCACGGTAAGCCCAGTTCTCAGGGGATGCTGAGTTAGAGTGAGCAGTGCCCTATCGTCCACCGTATGCATTTCCTTCATCTGAGAGAGAGAGGAAATCAACAGAGGTGTTGATGGATTCTCCTAGCACTTCTTGGATATTGGGGGTTGAGGCCGCTGCCACCTCTTTCTCAGGAAAAGAAAATCAGATTATTAGGAAAACATGGTGCTCCATGTCTATTAGACCAGGTTAAGGAGCTATAGGGAGTTAGTCTCCTTAGATCTCTTGGTGCCCTTCAGAAGCGTTGGAGGCTGGTTCTCAAAACTCTTAGCTTCGTGTCCCACGTTTGCTGCTTCACACAGCCCTTGTGTGTTAACTCTGCCTTTTCTTGCCAGAAAGTTTGCCTTGTGGACCGAGAAGCTTAAAAGCTTTTCAATCTCAGGAATTCTAGATTCTGTGGCCAAGAACTAATTCATGAAGGCATAAACCATAGGGAATTTCAGGCACTCTCTCTTATACTACTCATTTTAATGGACAAATAAACTCTGAATTTTGGTCTCTTCAGAGAATAAGCTACCTTCCTTTACCATTCTGTTTTACTGGAAGCCCTGTGAAGCAGTAGCTGTCGGCCTGTAACAGCTAGCAGTTTGCGGGAGGCGCCAGCATAGGCAGGCCTGCCTTCCCATGTGTCACTCTGCCAGTCAGTCACTTGCCATTGGGCTCCTCAGTGGCCACAGGCTCCCAGCCTCACCTGCTGTTTTGGATACCTGTGAGCACCCCACAGAGCTCTAGCTGACTGAGTAGTTGCAGGAATGGCCAGCAACTTGAGGCTCAGGTCTGTCAGTTCAGAGTCTTTACATGAAATATCAGGATGGGAAAGAGAAGGTTCTCGGTCCACCCTTACAGCCTCTGTTCTCACAAATCTGGTATTTTTCAAACCCAGGCCACACCTTCGGGAGTCATGATTTGGCCGTTCCAGAGATTCTCTTGGCTGAATTGTTGCTGCTTCACCTGTTTGTCTTTTCAAGGGCCGGTCAGCTCTTTCCACATAGCTCCAGGGTATGGTGACCCCCAGGCCCAGCCAGGTCTCTAGTGTAGAGGCTCATGTGGACTTCAGGGTGTTGCCTCTACAGAATCAGGAAAAGAGGCTTGCTTGCGCTACACTCTCTCTTGGGGCAATCTCATTTGATATTTCCTGGATCCTTCCTTCCTTTTCCTATCTCAGCTCCCACCCCATTTTTACAGAGACTTGGATATATTTGTTGCTCCCTGAGGCCACAGGTGAGGTCTCTGACCCTTTGAGGATTACTCCCTCAGCCCCAGGCTAAATGTGTGCTTACTGTACAGCTCCTCCCAGGAAGCCAGGAGGCAAAAATTCCTTTGTTAGAGCCCATAGAAGTGTGCATGAACTACTGACTGTGCACTGGCAGCTTTTAATTGAGCCAGCAATGAGGAAAGAATAAACCGAATGCCATGTACCTTGTCATTCAGTTGCTGTCAGATTGACTCCCACTCATGACTCTGTGTGTCCAGGAGGACTGGGCCCCACAGGGCTTGCAGTGGCTGACTTTTCAGAAGTACATCATCAGGCCTTTCTTCCCAGGTGCTTCTGGGAGAACGTGACCCTCCAACCTTTTGGTTAGCAACTGAGTACCGTCTGTATCACTCAGGAGCTCTAGAAACTTTGTTAAGTCTGGGTTTCTGGCCCCACACTGCAGCCGCTCCTAGCCTCCTGTCAGAGGAGAATTTCCACCCAGCCCACTGGTACAAGAGATGGCCCTGGCCATGATGCCATGCGACGGGCACAGGATGAGCAGAAGAACCATGGAAAAGAGAGAACTATTTAAAGCGTAGCCAGTTCTTCAGCTTCCAGGCAATATTTCACCTCAAAAAGGAAAGCGTAAGGGATCCAGTGACTAAGCCAATAGGAAGGGGAAATTCCTAGCTCCAGCCCACCACCAAATGAGCCACTGGCTCCACTGGAGCTTAACAGTGAGGTGACACTATACTTGAGGCCTGGCATCCTGCCCTCTGTTACTACCAGGGTTTCAGCGATCACCCATTCTTTGGCCCCACACTTAACTCTAGACACAGTCAACGAGCAAAAGTGGTCCCTACTTAGATCCAGACCCAGCTGACTACAGATCGTGGTCACGAGGCTGGTGTTTAAGGAAGGTTCCTGACCCCTCAAAACACGTGAGTTCCTCTGACCCACTAAGCAAGGCAGCTTTGAAGGCAGAATGAGCAGCGTGTAAGGACAGGACCCCAAGAATCAGAACATCTGGATTCCAGGGCCACTCTTCTCCTCACTGGCTGTGTGACCTTGGGCAAATCATTCCTGTCTGTGAAATGAGGTTGAACTGGATAATCCTTAAGACCCCTTTTAGGCTTAAAATTCTTAAGTTCTGAAAGATTCTTCCATTTAAAATTTTTTAAAAGAGATTTGTAAAATTAAAATTTTTAAATGTCAACTGCTTTAAATTCTTAAAATTTGGTTTAAGTTTCTTAAACTCAGAATTTCTGCTATTTCTGACTTCAGAAATTCTCA